CTGGTCATTACTGTGATATATGGACTGCCCACGGCTCAGTCATTATCGCTGTCTTAGTCAATTCCACTGTCCTACGGGCAGTCCATGTATCACGATAATGACCAGTTCTTCAATAACTATTATGTGTATTTCATTGAGGAACCATGTTTTTAACAATTCTCATAAATTCAAATTGTTCAAAGCAAACTCGAGTTATTATACGATTTCTATAGGAAAGAGTGAAGACCAGTCATAGTGGTAACTATAAGTCACTGCCATTCATTTAAGTGCAATTTTTCAGTATATGAAAACAAAATAAAGTTTTCTATAATTTTATACTTCTTGTTGCTGAGTAGTTTGTCTCTATCAGCATCGGAAAGTACGGCAAAACGATCATTTGAGTTGTCTGTAGCAGACGTGCCTTCCAGTCCAGCTATGTTCCAAACGTCTGAGTCGCGATTGCGTTTTATTAAAGGGACATCACTCTGAATAGAGTAACCACGCCCCACTGGTCATTAACATATAAAAGTCCGATAACAACCGTTTTCTAGTCCGTTTTTTTTTCTGTTTAAGACCGATGGAATTTTTTACTAAAGATTAAAGAATGTCATGTGGCCCCTTGTTATCCAATAAGAGAAGCTAATTCTTAACCGATATGAAATAAAAAAATTTAAATGTCCATTCAAAAGTGTTATACTAGAATTAAGAATTAAAGCTTCAGAGTTATAGAGATGTTAAAAATATATAATTATGAGCAATATTGTAATTTTGAGTTAAATGTATTGAACAAAAATAGTATTAAACGAATTGAGGAAGATGTATTTAATAAGTTTAAGTCAGACTGGTGTAAAGAGTTGCTGCATATGCAGATGGAAGTAAATTGAGGACTTACAAATTGTTTAAAAATAATTATTGTACTGAAATTTATTTGAAAAATATTCTGTCAATTAAACACAAAAGTGCTTTTGCAAGATTTATATGTGGGGTAGCTCCCCTAAAAATAGAAACTGGAAGGAATGAAAGAAAAAAAGTTCATGAGAGGACATGTTTTAACTGTAGCTCTACTATTGAAGATGAACTTCATGTCATTTAAAAATGCCCATTATATGTAGATTTAAGACAAATCATGGTTCATAAAGCTATTCGTTTTAATGAACGTTTAAACTTACTATCAGATCGTGAAAAATTTATATTCTTATTTAATAATGAGAATGTTGCTAATGTAGTTGCCAAAAAAACATTTTATTGAGAAGAAACAGTATTCTATTTCACTAGTTTTTAAAGAAACAAAATGTTTAACATTCGTGTAGATGGAAATTGTAAATTCAAATGTAAATGTGTACAAACATTTATATGTATATATTGTGTCTTAAAAGTCTCATAAATCTTTTTAAAGATTGGTGCATACATTGCAAGTGTTTTGACTGTTTAATGTGTTATTCTGAGAATCGTATTGTATGTTTGTATGTGGTGAGACTATAATAAAATATTGAATCTGAATCTGTCTATATTGTCATGAAAAACAACAAAATCAAATTTGGAAACACTTGATTGAACATTTGTCAAGTTAATATCGCATGGAAGCGACATAGAGTGGCATTTTCCAATTAACCAATGACCATAAAGGGATGATCATTTGATTTTCTGGTGGTGGAGGATTTTGAAAATGAATATCCTTGCCTGGTAAGAGCCAGGGGCGGATTCAGGCAGGGGCGTGGCGGGCGTGCGCCCCCTAAAATTTGCCAAGCATGGGTTGTCCTCAACTATTAAATAAAGAATATTTCGATAATTTAACCTCAAAAATTTTTCGCCTAGCACCGCTCGGCGAAAATTCAGGTTTGAGCCCACCCTAATCTAAAATCCTGGATCCGCCCCTGAGACCTGAAAACAAATAAACTTGCATAAGACAAGAAGAAAATGAATATTCTGCAACACAAAATCCAAGGAACAGTTGTGAACAAAATTGAAAAATAAATAAGCATGTTCATCAATAGACGTAAATGTACAGTCAATCCGAAAAAAAATCCCCTCCCCCTTCCAGAATATCAAATGTTCTTCTCCTATTTTTAAACTCCTGTACGGCAAAAACTTTAGTGAAATTCGTAGAAATCTGACCTAAATGTTGTCATGATAAGTAACATTTTCAAATTGAAAAGGATTTTTGAACGACACTCGAGATATCGCACGGACCCGACATAAAGTGGCATTTACAATTAACTAAGAACCATTACATTAGAATGGTAAAAGTGAAAATTGTCGAATTCATACTTATTCTTTACAATGTCATGAGAAGTAACAAAAACAAAGTTAAAAAACCATTGGTGTACCGATTCTCAAGTTGTTATAAAAAACAAAATTAAGATTAAGCGCATTTTTCAACCAATTTGGACCATTACTCCTGAACTTATAGTTATCGCACGAAAACGATTTGAGCCGCCAGCCGTACATCCCAAAGTTGGTTACTGGATTTTTCGGTCGGAATTACACGATTAAAACATATTTCACTGGAAAAACATTGGACAGGGGCTGATGTTTTGCCTTTTAAATAGACATATGGACCCCTCATCGAGTTGTTGAAAGGGATCTTTTACGCACAGGGAGCATGGCGCGCACAGCCTTCACGAGGCATATGACTTAACGTCTCCCGCCATTCCGATCGGATGTAGCTGCGTATTTATACATCCCACTCGACTGAACCGACGCCCGACTTTGACAAGGTTTTTTACATTGGGACGGGAGAAGTTTCAGATTGGTCATATTTCCATACCAAAATCTACCGTTTGGGTCATGTCCGTATATACATTTAAATGTGTACTTCATAGATTATTAAGTTTTATAGTAAAGATATTTTTCTTTAAATGTACCAAACCCACTGTGTTGATTTAATTTAACATGAATAAAAGAAGATGTGGATAAGAGTTGATTTTCGGGCAATAAAATGTTATGTCAATCTGAAAGATTAATTCATCTTAATTTTGTAGCAACATGAAAAGTATTAAAGTTGAACCTTGTTGAAGGTGCGACTGATAAATAAACTTCGATATAATTGATCAATTTAAATGTTGTTTAAATAGTAATTTGAGAACAATCTTTATTGATAAATTTTAATTCAATTCTTATATGTCACAGACGCGATATCACGTTTCAACGTAATTAGTGGAACATTGCTTAATTTTGAAATGATATGTTTTTGCATACGTATGGTTATGTCTTTAATTTGTTCATTTTTTATAACCTGAAACACTTTTCAAGTATTCACTTCCTGGTTGAGTAATAAGGTGGTTCATTGACATCCATATCTTATCACCCCCTTATATTCCATCATAATTTTATTAAGTTTGATAGAGTGTCTTTATCCGTGTTTATATTATCGCAACTATCCTGCAAATTTTATATTTATTGACTAAGCCCAGTAAATGCTACCAGGAGTCGGGAGGTTAGACTTCTAAATAAATTTTGGCACACGTCATACATTCTTTCCTAACATTTGTAAGATTTTTTATACAATTTTTCGTCTTGCATATTTGTTAAAGCGACAAGTCGAAATGTTGACGCCAAAATCAGCAGAAATGGATAAAATTTAAATGTGTTATTTCAAAATCATAACACGAAAAAAAAAAACATCAAAGGGAAATCTTTTTCTTGAAACATGGTTTCGCGGGTATTTTTGTTGGACAAAATGTATCCAGCAAATGTTGCAACTCTCATCAAAAAATTTCGAGGGTGGGTCAACTTCATCTCACATGTCACTGATTATTTCGAATTATTTCAATATTGGTTTTTGCAGTTTTGGAGCAACTAGATGTGTGCCTGTTATTTTTGTGTGTGTCAATTTGCATTGCATCTTGCTTAAAAAAAAACCCCATTAACTTTTACATTGTAATAATTTGAATCCATTACATACTTCATATTCCTTTTTGGGGGAGGGGGAGCTGGGAAATGTATATGAAAATGAAAAATGGATATTTATTTGATTTATTTCTACTAAAAATTAACTTTTGCATTATGATTATTTGAATCCACTAGATGATTTATACTCCTTTGGGGTGGAGTGAAAATGTATATGTAATTGAATAGATGGATATATATATATATATTGGATTTATTTCTTCTGTGCAAAATTACATTGAAATCATCAGAGATATGATATATTTTGATGACAATACAAATTCCCCTTTTACTGTAAAGCCCAGTGCATCATATAAGATAACAGAAGAAAATCTTGTGTAACTATATATATAAGGCTACTTTCCACCGCATGACACACTGATGCAAGTTTAAAGATGCATGTTTTTGACATGAATGTTTTGCATGTTTTTAAACACGATCAACCTCTAATATTTCTGTTTTTTTTGTATATCAAAACAACGATAAGAAGAAACACATAAAGATGGAGAATAAAATCATAATTACTATTTGCATGTATAGTTATGATGGATGCCTTGAAATTGAAATGTCGTGTTTTGACATGGGGACTAGAGCAAGTTTATACCCCATGTCATCAACACAGGTGTCTTATTTCTTTGACATAAGGTTTCCATGACATATTTTGATATGCAACATGAATGTTAAAAACATGTCTTCAGAACTTTGTTTTTTGTTTTATTATTTGATGTATTATTTGGTTGCATATATTATTGATGCATAGCCCGCTTCTCATTTTCCCCACCTTTCTCAAATGCCTTTCGTGGGGTACAACACCTTAAGAAATAATCCTTTATCTAAACAAGAATAGAAAAAAGTCAGTTTTAATGTCTCCACAAATTTTCTACTTAAAATTTTTCTTTATTATTACTTTTTGTATTAACTTACAGTCTTGTACGATTTAAATTGACAAGCTACCCGTTATATGTTCCTTTAACAAAGAAATTTAAAATCAATCTAAATACGGTATCTTTTAAATAACTAGTGTTTAACCGAAACTTCAAAAATTCTGATTGGTTGTAATATATGTACTTACTTATATATATATACATGCACTGTAAATTTCGTCAATTTCAGTAGAGCAAATGTAAAGTCAACATGAAGGGCTTTTTAGCTCTTATTTTTTTACTTTTAATTTGCGTCGATTTTACTAAATCTGCTTCTTGTGTTGCTTCAGCAAACAAGCTTACTGTAAATTATGGAACATCCTGTGATTTGATTAGTTCTTTGACTGGTTTGGATGAAGTTAGTATAAGTGGTACAGTTTATGTGAAGGGGTCGCCTGGATCTACACCCCCTTCACTGGAAGCCACTAATATCTATGTATACGCTACGGGTAGAATATTAGCAGATGGATACGGATATGGGCCTATGGATGGGCCAGGGAAAGGGTCTTCCGGAGGGTCAGGAGGTAAGGTCATATATACATTCTACAATATGACAATATTGCCATTATTGTACATATTTTCCACTTTTTAAATAATTCTAATTTAATCTTTTAGGCATTGTTTTTGTTTTGTTTTGAATCATTCGAATAAACCGAGCTGTCTTTAGGCCACATCTATAGACAAGACTTCATTTTTACCCCACCCTTCCTATGGATGTCTTTTGTTAACAGAAGGTGGGGTCAAATGGAAGTCTTTCCTCACAAATCTGTCAGTTATCTATGTTAAAAGCAGGTTTTGGGTATGAATAGCTATGGCTATACTGTAGAATATGAAGCGTCTTTTCCCAACAACAAGCAACAACAACAAAAATCCATAAGATCAGCATCCAATGTTTTTATACATTACATATCAATATCCCTTTCTAGAGGATTCATGTAATATATTATTTTTCAATTGTTGTTTACTCTTGTTTATAAACGCATGTACATAAATACACATTTTTCTGTTTGAAAAAAATCAAACATATATCCTTTTACAGGAAATGATGTTACAACAGTAAAAGGACGTAAAAATGTATGCATGTAACATTTTAAAAATATATTTAAATACTTTTGACCTAAAAATAAATCACTTTGAAACTTTCTTTTATATATTATCTATGCCTTTAAGCTATTTATTTGTAAATACTCGAAAATTTCTATCGAATATTTGAATTTACTATTTAAAAACTGAAAAATTAAATTTCATGAAAACTTAATTAAAATGAAAAGTGCAATTTATGTTAACAGCGTTTAAAAATTCGCCACTTAACGTCTAACTGAAAATCTGGATAATTCTAACAGTTAAAAAGCTCTTCTCTAAATTCTTGTTGCGCATGTACCCAGAAGAATTCTGTCGTTCTTATCCCTCTCTTTAAAAAAAACAAGATAAAGAGTAGTTTTTTTTCGGAAGAAATTGCGAAAGACAGAAGGGCTGACTTCTTTGGAAGTGGTAGGAATAAATATATTGTAACTGCATGGCGAATCAACAGGTTTAAAAAGATAATTCCTGCTAGAACAGCCAACATACATATAATTTTTCGAAAATGTTCAAAATATCATTTTCAAATATTTATATTCAAATTTACTATGGCCATCTTGGTTGGATCACATGGTAATCACGACAGCATCCTTACCCGCTACCGCAGTCTTTGAATTCCCTTTTACTGATTTTTTGTAAACCAGGTGCAGATCCAGAAAATGAGATATATAGAATTCTTCAGTTTTAATTCGAAAGTAGTTTACACGAAGAACAAATAATTCTACTTCATTCACGTGAAGAAGAAAATACACGAGTTTTCCAATTTACACTATCAGTTTGTGCTATTTCGCTTCCACAACAGAACATCATATAGACACCCTCGATCTGTATTCCGGAATAGAAAATCTGTATCTCGAATTTTTTCTTTAACAGTTAACTTAGAGTTTTTATAAAAAGTAAAATAACAAAAATACCGAACTCCAAAAGGGAAATTTAAAACGGTAAGTCCTTTATAAAATGGCAAAATCAAAAGCTCAAACACATCAAACTAATGGAAAACAACTGTCATATTCCTGACTTATTACAGGCATTTCCTTATGTAGAAAATGGTGGATTAAATCTGGTTTTATAGCTAGCTAAACCTCTCACTTGTTTGACAGTCGCATATAATTCCGTCATATTGACAACAATGTGTGAGCAAAAAAAAAACCAGACATAATAGGTAAAAACGTCAAAAATATAATAACATTGATTTTGTTGTTGAAAAATTAAAACATAAATAACGATATATGTTGCTTTATATGTACATTTATGAGAACTCATCCTACACCCTGTCGATACTGTCTACTTATATTTCGGCATGGCACAAGGTCGTGCGTTTCTCATAATGTTTGGTATACGTCTTTACACCAAATCTGTTGGATCTGTACTGATTGAAAGTTTAGTCTGAGAGAACATGATTTATTTATTAGTTGTAATTGGCTTCGAACTAGCGTCCAGTAATTTCGAGTATTCCTATTTCGGTGCTTTGTGTCTATTTTTACTTATGTTAGTTGTGTTTGTACCTCGTACCTATCCTTTGAGTTAAGCCAGTTGCAACTGATTTTTACAGTTTGTTCTTAGGTTGTGCCGTTACGCCACTGTCCCAGGTAAGTGGGTTGAGCGCCAACAAACATGTTTTACCCCACCACATTCTGTATCTGTCTGTCCCGGGTCAGGAGCCTGTAGTTCATTGGTTGTCGTTGGATGATGTCTGTCATGTCTGTTTTTCGTATTTTTTTTGTTATAAATTAGGCCGTTAGTTTTTCGTTTGAATTGTTTCACATTTTTCATGTCGGGGCCTTTAATAGCCGACTATACGATAGTTGTCTCATTGGCAAATATACCACATCTTATTTTTATATTGTTACAATGTAATTAAATTACTAGAAAATCATTTTGCTGAGTTCATTTCTTAAAACAAACTCTGAGGTTTCAAGAAAAAGAAATACACTTTTTTTGTATTCTCTCCTTTTGGTTTGAAACAGCCATTTGGATCATCATAATCATTTAACTATTGTTTGATACATATAAATACCCAACTTATTTTACAAAAGGGTTAAGGAATAAAATACAAAAAAAAAAACCAATCAAATTGCAAAATTATTTAAACTTTCAAAAAATAAACACTCTTTACACAAGTTAAATAAAAAAAAAAATGACGGATCGGCATTATTTCGAGTAAAAACTTCTGTCCATGGATATTAAATAGAGAATAAAATAAGATCAGATAGAAGCCTCCAGATTGATAGAGAACTGAGAACTGTCTATAGTTATGTCTATGTCTCTTTATTTTTGTGTTTAATGTAGGTAGCCGTGTATATGCTTTGTTTCATTTAGATACGTGAAGTACGGCCATTTTTTCTGTTTTTATTCCCTCGCTGTGTCAAAATCTTAAAGCTGTCAAAATCTACTGGAATTTAAATTTAAAAAGGTCCCTATCATTTGCCTAAAATACATTTCTTTTAACAATTTGGCACATTTCCAAAAAATCTAAATATATATATTTTTGTTCAGCGCTACATGTTGCTGTTCAAGACATTTTGATATATAATTGCAAATTTTACACTTTGGAAAATTTTGCATCGAAAAATATCTTTTAATAAACAATATGAAATAATTAGTATCCGAAAGATTATTTTATGCTTTATTTCTAATAGAATTTCGGTTTTGGTTAAGAAGGTTCTTGAACAATGTTCAGATACATACTCAAAATTAGCAAACTCTGTCAAAATTGTGGCGTTGAGCTACTTACTTAGTCCCATGTTTCGAAATAAGCTTCAATATCATTGAAACCTCAAAGTACACACATAAGTGCAACAGAGGTGTGACACTGCGATTTTGAGTAAAGAATGAAAGACTTTTTGAAAATGACGATGACCTAGAGTTGCTAACCTTCTACCTTCATTTGTTCTCTGGTGGAGAATTGTCTCATTTGCAATAATACCGCATCTTGGTGTGAAATAAATCGAATTGGAAAATTGGTTTAACCTTAAATTTCGTTCAGTTATATATTGGGAATCACAAATATCCAGAAGATTAAGAACAACTGAAGTATATGACCCCAAAAACAAGATTGACAAATAATTTTTACACTATATAGTGCGGCATAGTAGCTATATGAGCATGTAATGACAATAATGCATAACGATATGAAAGCATAGCTGATACATGCTTAAGGGCTTTAGAACCCATTTTGAAAGTCGTAATTAATACATAAAAAGGACAACATGAATCACCAAAAAAATACTGAATGATTCTCTCGACTGGAGTTTGACACTCACTCATCATATCAACCAAATTCATTTCACTCATCCAAATTTTATTTCAAATACAACAGTAAATTGACATAAGATGTTTTGTAAGATACCGTAGACGAAACGGTCTTCTGGCGTACCAGATTATAAGCATGGTATCTTTCATGAGTTTTGCATAGGTTACACCATTGTGATTGGCAGACAGCAGTAAAGTGGTGTTTACGGTGTAGTGTATATCTTAATATTAAAGCTTTTTTTTGCCATTAAACGAAAGGTACGAACTAACGTAAAGTGAACATGTGACGTCCATTTTCACTGAACTAGTACACATTTTTGTTTAGGGGCCAGCTGAAGCCCGCCTCCGGGTGCGGGGTTTTCTCGCTGTGTTGAAGACCCATTGGTGGTCTTAGGCTGTTTTATGCTCTCTGGTCGGGTTGTTGTCTTTTTGACACATTCCCTATTTCCATTCTCAATTTTATGTATTACATTCCCACGATATAACACTGATAATCTATGTTTTATCTGGTAAACATGCATTCTTTTCTGAATCAAATATATCTTAAAAAAATTAAGCATATCGCAAATAAATTACGCATTTGATATATGAGAATAAAGAAAAATAATTTAAAGTACACTTACTTCCGATACATTGTTTATGTACCATGGTTAGACATATTTGATACGGAATTATTCAAGCATGAATTTTTTTATATGTTTACCCCATAAACATTTTAATGGAATTCTTGAAGTATGATACTGTAAGTTTAACGACAAAATTCATAATTGTTTTTATATATGTCACCCGATCGACAATGTCGAATAAAATATTGCTTTTCTTCTGCTTCTTTTTCCGTACTATTATTATTATTATTATTATTATTAATAATATTATTATTATTATTCCACCTGTTTTGTCCGGGAGTTTTCTCAGAGCCAATGGAACCAATCTAAATGATTGTTCACTATAAAGAGGAACACCAACTTTAGAGTTGCAGTGCAACTTTGGCACTCAAAAATGTAAAAAAAAATAAAATTTGGGGTCTGATGAATCATTTGAGTATTCCTGAACTTTAAACCATTTTAAAAATGTTTATACAATGCAGTTGTTCACTATATACAGGTTTTGGATGATTTTGACAATCATTGGAACTACTATATTGCCATGGAAACTACATAAAAATTTTCAAAAATTAAAAAATGCTCCAAAC